TCACATTTCAAAAGAAAAACTAGTTGAAAGTATATTAGAAAATTTATATCATTATAAAAATCAAAAAGAAATAACTACTTCTTCTAATAATGAAATTAAAGAAGAAAATGTAAATACCTTAAATACTTTAACTATTAAAAGCAATAAACCTGATATTTCATTTATTAATATCCCTTCAATCTCTTCTCAACCTCCTTTAATGAGTGTTGTTTCTACTTCTTCTAATAGATCTATTCCAAGTCCATTAAATGAAAATAAGAATATTAAATTGCCATTGATATCTACTTCATTGCAACAACCAATTCCTCTTACCACAACATCACAAGAATTAGAAACAAATCCAATAATTAATAATAATATTTGGGATAATGAAATACAAAAAATTGAAAAGAAAATTACTAAAAAAATAGAAGATATTAAAAAAGAAGAAAAAATATTAGACATTATTAATAAACTTAAAAATTATAAAGAAAAAGAATTCTTAAAGGAAAGTGATGTTTTTAAACCAAAAGAAAACTCTAGAGAAGGTTTAAAACAAGTTGAAATTCCTTCTTTATTATTTAAATACACTCCTTCTAAATATGAACCTTGTACTGAATTAAAGAAATTAAATATTCCCATTATTGAATTAAATCAAATACAAACCTTCTACTTAAATCCTTTGTTTATTCATTTAGCACACTCTGATTATAGAAAACGTACTAATGACATGTTACCAAAAAAGTCTTTAAAATCTTCGTCTTATACTCAAACTCATCCAATAGGTCCTCAAGGTCCTATTAGAATTGAACAAGCAATGCAATACCAAACTAGAAGACCTATTGGAACCCCTGGTGTAGCTATTCCTATGACTAGATACGTCCAATTAAATCCTGCTGTTTATACTGGAGTCACCCAATTTAATGCTGCACTAATTCCAGGAAATCCAATTATGACACCTTCAATTAATCAAACAGTTCCTCAAGGATTAGCTCAACCAGTAATACCACCACTAACTCCTGGAATTACTGGAATATCAAGACCAGTAGGATATGGCGGTAAACTAATAAACGGATTTAGTATTCCTCCACCACAACCAGATGCAGCACAGGTTGGGCTTCGCCCTATGACCAACTATCAAAACCAACGACAACCACAAATGTCAACTATGACTCCAGTTTTTGTACCTAAAAAAAAGAATTAAATGAATGAAAATGATTTAATAAAAATCTATTTTAAAAAGAAGTTTTTACGTAGTTTTGGATCTTAATTTTTTTTTTCAAAAAGGCTATAATTTCAATTTTTCTTTTTTTGTTACTTCATTCTTTAAATGGTGTCTAAATAAATTAATGTAGAAAGATGAATAATACAAGGTGATAGTTTATCTAAATTATTATTTGTATTATCTATTGATATATTATCTAAATAATTAGATAAACAAATTAATAAGTTATCTATTAAAATGAATTGAGAATAAAAACAAGTCCAGTTAAACCACATATTATATATTGATGAGATAATAACTAACAACACCAATGAAATTAAAAAAACAAACAAATTAACAAATGAAATATTTAATGTAATATGATTAAAAATAAATGTAGAAAAGAGTGGGATAATGAATAATATCAATGATCAAATAAATAGTGAATGAGCAGAATTACTAAGAGTAACTAATGTTAATCATTATAAATATCTTGGTATTGAAATAGGAGATAAAATAAATATTAATAAATATTATACAAGATTATTAAATGATGTATCTTCTATTCTATCATCATTAAATATTATGAAATATAGCAGCATCAATACAATTAGAAAAATTAATAATGATATAATCTCCAAATTAAGATATTGGTTCTGTATTGTCAAATGGAAACTTGGTGATTTGGAGAATATAGATAAACAAATAAGAAAATCATTGATACAACTCTAAGTATACAGTAGAAATATCCCTAAAAGTAGATTATATGTTACAATAAATGAATTGAGAATGGGATTAATGTCAGCACGAGATGAATGTTGTAAGGAATTAATAAGAATATATTTAAAATATAATATCAAATACAGAAATAGGAGAAATGATAGAAGCAGTAAAAGAGAATCCAAAATGAATAATTAAAAGAATGAAGAGAGCATTTGGTAAGAAAATTAATTTCAATGAATTAATGAATATAATACAGTTAAATGAAATAAAACATGATGTAAACAATGTATTTGAAATTGTAACAAATAAAATAAATAAAAGATATTTAAATGAATTGAAAGAAATGAAGTGAATATATAAGAAATGTAAATTGTATATTTAATAATATGAAATTAACAGTAGCCACATGGAGGTCATTAAATATAAAAAGAAATGTATTCCTCCAAGTAGTAAAGATGCAAGAAGGAGTAACTATGACAGGAAGTATTAATTCTAAAATACTTAATTGTGAAGCTTTAATTTATTGTAAACATTGTTATAACACAATTCCATCTATTAGCCATATTTTGTTATGATGTCCTATAATGAAGAAGAATCAAATATTAAAACACGATTATGTATGTAAACAAATATATAAACATATATTAATTACCCATTTTAATGAATTTGATGAAATAGATTTTGATACACCTCATAAGTGTATTAATAATAATGAAATGGTTATAACTTACAATAAAGATTTATTGGTTAGTGACCATTCTTTTAATGCTAGAAGACCAGATATATATTATCAAATCATCAATGAAAAAATTGATATATTATTGATGTCGCCATATGTCAAGATAGAAATATAGAATTAAATTATATTTACAAAATAAATAAATACAAAGAATTACAAGTGAAATTAATACAAAATAGAGAATTAATTTATGTAGAAATAATACTTGTAATATTAACAATCAATGGGTTGATACATAAAGAAACAGTAAGAAGATTAAAGACACTAAAATTACAAATCAACTTCCCCAAAAATACTACGAACAATCATTATTAAAAACATGAAATGCTTAATATTTTACATATTTAACAATGGCAACACATTAGAAGAGGAACCTTCTAATTCTCATATTTTAGAAATGAACTCTATTGTAGAAATAGATCATATTGAAATCACTGAAACAATCACTTCTCAATAATCATAAAATCCAATCGTGGATATATCTATTATTTGTTATTTTTGTTCTTCTTTTTGTTCTTTGAATTATTAAAAATAATTAATTTTAATCATTTATTGATATTAATTTGTTTTATTCTCATTTGTTTTTTCTTTTATTTTATGATGAGTATTTTTTCAATAGTTTCAAAGAATTCATGAGTTGATAAAAAAGATAAATCTTCTTTGTATAAGACTACAATATAAAAAAATGTTATTTCGTTTACTCATCAACTGAATCTCTAAAAATCAATCATTACTTTTTATGGAATTTATAAAAAAAATAATCTTCAATTTATTTACAAGAAGGAATACTTTTAAACCTATATAAAGACAGTACTGTCACTGAACAATATTTATTTGTGTAAATTATTTTTTGTTAATATAAATATGTCACTGTCCATGATTTTCTTTAAGACATCACTCTTAATTATGTTCATTGTGTTTGTATTAACTAATTGCACTACGAATGATCTTTACGACATAATTTCTTCTATTAGTTCTTAATGCTATCAAATACCCTTTCTTATTTAAATTCATACAGTTCGTATTAAAAAAGGAGGATAATCATATTTCTGATATTCTTATCTTTTGTTTTCAGTAGATATGTTTTTTATTAATAATAATTTTATAAATATTTTATTATTTAAAGAATAAATTTAATGAAATATATATAATAAATTGAAATTAAATAATGTAAATATTCATTTAATAAAATAATTTGAAAATTAAATGAATGATATGAAATTAACAAGTAGAATATTGAAGAATAATATAAAATGAAATGGTTATAATTAATTAAAATTAATGAAAGAAAATGGTATATTTGTATTAATTAAGAAAGTATTAATTACATAAAATAATACTTTAAAGTAGTGTAGTATTTATAATGATAAAATATCAACAATTGAACATATATTATTAAATTATATTGTAAATAAGAATATACAAATTGATAAACATGAATTAACAAGAGAATATATCTAGAGATGTGATAAATTAAAATATAAAATAAATATAATGAATGATGAAGAAATTGAGAAGAAAACAAGAGAGAATAAAATGAAATTAATATTTAATAAAATGAAATGAGTAAATTCTAATGAAGAATTGAAAATAATGAAATGTTTATTATATTGAATCAACAAATAGTTAATAAAATAGAATATTTCATAAAATACCATATATTTAATATAGAATATAAAATAAAACAAATATAAATAATAAATAATATGACAATGGTATGTGATAAGAAGATAATTCTAGTATTTACTATGAACTTGAAATGTATAGATTTCTCCATTTCAAAATAATACAAATTAATAAACTAAAATGAAAGTAATTTCAGTGGTAATAATAAATTGATTAATCAATAAAGAATCAGTAAGAATGATAAAATAACAAGGTATAATAATTGAATATGAAATAATAGTAAAAGATATAATAATTAAAAACATGAAAGACATAATGAAATACTATGGATATCATTGATGAGAATATAGAGAAGTAACTCATGGATAAGGGTCTGAAGAGAGTGAATGATATAATCTCATCTGAGCAAAGTGAAGCTGAAAAGTCAAGAATTAATAAAACTTAATTTATTAATTTTTAATCAATTTTTGAAATATTATATTTATAAAATGTTATATAAAACATAAAAATAAATATGAAAGAAGAAAATTACTTTCTGGGTTTTATTGTTATCTCAAAAATATTTTTAGTAGTTTATAAAAAAGACAAAAAAGTAAAGTAAGTTTTAATAAAAGATTTAAAGGAATAATGTTAAATCAAAAAGAGAAAAAAAAAAGAACTAATATTTTAAAAGAAAAAAAGAATAAGAATAAAATAATGGATATTATTACAATGAATGAATGTAAAAAGATGTTCGAGGCGAATAACCTTCATTTTCCAGACGAGTTTTATCATCTTCCTGATTGTATAAATGTTATACCTGTTCAAAGAATTTCTTCTACTTTAGTTTTTGTAAAGTCAACTAATCAACAAGTTAATCCTAATACAAACAACTCTCAGTTTAATTCATTTACACCATCTCAACCATTTGGACTACAACAAAAAACAAATACTGTAGCTGATCTTTCAATTCCTGCTAACCCAAGTACTTTTAAACAAATCCAAATGGAAGAAGAACCATTTTCTCAAATAACAGATTTACAACAAACTGTTCCAAATGGAGGACATGCTTTAGATATACCAGAAACAAGGTTCACTGAAATAGAAAAACCTGCTGTAGAAATGAAATATTTAAATCCAGTTAGTGGAGAAAAATTTGACCCAGTTGATAAAAACCAATTTAAAGAAATGCTTTCCAGTACTTTTATTCAAACAAAAAAGGATTTAACATCTCCTCAACCAAAATATCCAACACCTCAACAACCAGTTGATTTATTAAATGCAAAAGCTCCTAAATACTCTCCAAAAACATCTCCTAATACTTATAAAAATTCACCAAACATCGAACTTTCTCCTGCTATTCAAAAAAAATATCCTAAACTTGCAAAACCAAATCAACCATTGGGAAGTCCAAGTCAACTAACCCGTAGTGGTATTACTAATTCACCATATGGAACTCATAAAAAATTATATCAACAAGCATCCTCTCCAGTATTATCTCCTATTGGAAAACCACAAATAAAAACTTCAGGATCAACACAAATTAAACCAAGTGCAATTACAAGTATCGAAGAAAAGTTTAAAAGAATTAATTCACAGCATAACACTACACCAATTCCTAGTGTTAAATCATCTCATTCAATTAGAGACGATTTTAATTTTTCTAAACCACAAAACCATTCAAGACCACCAAAAACTGCTCAAGCAATTATCGAAGAAAAGAAAGAACAACCAAGTTATCCAATCAGTGATTATTATAACAGTGATGAAGATGCTCGTAGTCGTAATAGAACTGCTAAAGCATATTTACAAATGGACTGGACAAAAAAAGGCAATTTAACACCATTAATAAATAGGGCAGATGGAGATGATCCAGCAAGAATCTTCCAAATGGCACCAATTGTTATAGGTGATGAAACAGAATTCATTGGAGATTCTAGTAAGCAACAACAAAGAAGAAATAGGTCAATGGCTTGGAAATAATCTTTATACTAATTTTGATTAGATTTTTATAATTTTAAAATTAATTAATATATGTTTTATATAACATAAAAATAAGGGTTTAATAATGAAAAATAAAAAAAACACGTCATCATAAAAAATAATTAAAAAGTTATAAAATTAATTTGACAAATAATACCACGTTCTATTAGAAATAGTTTCTTTTTGGATTATTTTAGTATTAATATTAAAACTTAAAATAGAAACTTATAACTTCTTAAAAACCCTAATTGATGACGTGTAAAAGAAAAATGTAACAAAACAAAATCAAATGGATAACACAGGACATCATAAAAAGGAAGCTCCTGAAAGGGTGTGTGTGATTGATGTGGATGCGGGTACTGAAGGTAGTTTGAGAGATTTTCAGTCATATGAAAATAAATCACCAAAACAACCTTTTCGTTCTTGTATCAATTACAATTCTTCTTCAGCAAGAAGACCTTATTCTTTTTTAAAACATCACCCACATTCTCAAACTCAAAATTCTCAAATGCCTCAACACCTTTGTTTTGGAGAAAGAAATAATCCTAGTCTCTTTACAAATTCTTCTAATAATCCACAAGGATATTTTCCTATCCTTCAACAAAATTTTCATACAAAACAAAATACTTTAAATGAATGTGGATTTTCAACACCATCAGAACGACATATAAATGAACCATTTGATAGATACTCTATTCATAAAAGTCTTAATTCATTAGGAGTTCAACACAGTATTAGGAATGAAAGAAATCAACCACAAATGGAACAATTTCATCGATCTACTCAAATTCCTAAATACCAAAAAAGTTTTATACCAACTAGATACTGTCATTCATATCATCACCATATACCAATAGTATTAAATAAACTTTCACAACAAAAAATTCCTGAACAAGTTTTACAAAATGATTTAATACAATCAAAAGTACATAACCCCACTCATTTACATCAACAAGTAAATACTTTAACACCTTGTTCTCAAGAACAAATCAAAATTTCTTCTAATCAGCAACAAAACAATTACCCTCTTTATCAACCAATTTCTTATACCACTCCATTTTCAAACTTACAAAATCGAACTTCTAAAGATTATTCAATTAAGCAAAAACAAACAGATTCTATTGATTTAACATCGGATGTTAATTCAGAACTTCCCCCAATTGATAATAATGAATTTTATGCAACGGATCTCCCTCCTCTGGGAGTAAGTCATAATATACTTCAACAATACTCAACTCCTAAAACTTCTCAAACTCAAATTAATCCTTTAATTAATAAAAAATTAGAAATACAAAAGAAAGAAGATCAGAGCACTCTCAGAACATTATCACCATTAGAAAAAATAATAAACAAACCAGAAAATAAAGAACAAAAAAGATCTAATCAACTAAAATCACTTTCTTCACTTATAGAAAAATCAAAACAACAAGCAGAACAATTGTTAAAGAACTCTAATACTACTATTACTCAATTAAAAATACAACCAAATGATAATGATAAATTACTTCTTGTTAAAAGTGATATTATTAATTCTGAAAGAAATGAATCAAAGAAACCACGTGATACAATAGTTGAAAAAGAAGAAAAACAAAATATTGTTAAAAAAATAATTCCAATAAAACCAGAAATTATTAATAATGAAATATCAATGGGTGTTCAAAAAAAAGAAAGTCATGATAAAATCGAAGATAAATCTAATAAAATAGAAAAAGGATTAGAAGTATATAACGATGACAAGAATTATTTAATAACTTTTTCAAATGAAAACGTTAGTAATTATTTTAATTTCAGTATTGAAGAAGAAGGAGCAAATGATTCAACAGAAGAAACAGAAACATTTGAAACGAATTGTACAGTTGAGGAAGATGATTATTTTAATGAAAAATATGAATCAAGTTATAATGAATTAATGAAACTATTAAAAAAAATTCATCCAATAATCAAAGAAAAAGAATCAAGAAAATTTGCAGAAATGATTGTTAGCTATTTATTAAGATTCGGAAATGATATTAATACATGGAATTCAGGAAATGAGTTTAATGTATTTGACAAAACTTCATTGCAAGAAAATGTTATTAATTCATTTATTAAAGAAAGGACATTACAAGTTAATATTTATACAAATGTGGTTTTATATAGAAGAATTACTCGTGCAGTTAAAAATATTAAAATTAATAATTTTATTATTCCTATTGAACTTCAAGAATTTTATTTAAAATCAGAATGGAAATTTGCTGATGATTTAAGGTTAATGTTACAAATAGCAAAATATGGAATTGGTGTTTATGAATTATATCTTAATGATTCTTTATTAGATTATTCACTAACAATGAAAATGCATTTTAGTTTGTTTTTATTTGTTTATTTAATTAGAAAGATATTAATAAGTTAGGTACTATTGAAGAAAAAAGAAGATTTCTAGCATCTAGAGTAGAAGATTTACTTGATTCGTTATAATAATAACGATGTTCATCAACAATGACATCTAATGTTTATTCATTTTATTTATATTTCATTGCATTTTTCAGTTACATGATTCTTTTATCAATCCAGAATATACATCAAATTTTATTGTTTTTGATATTGAATATTATCGTGTATACTGTAAAGAAAATCAAACAACAAACAGGTATTCAAATTCAAAGAAAAGAAAGGACTTCAATAACAATAAAATGTATAATAATAGTGATAAAAGAAATAACAAGAGAAAAATGAATAGAAAAAGAAGAATAGAAATAAAAATAAATAAGAAACAAAGTAAATATAATGATAATAAACATCATACAAATAAGAAATCTAAATTATTAACAATAAATGAAATTGAAATGAAAATTAAAAGAATAAGAAGTGAAATTGAGAATGAGAATAATCAGAAATATATAAAAAATAAGAAGATAAAGAGAAGAAATGATAATATAGAATAAGAAGGATAATCAATCCAAATAATATAAAAATAGAGAAAGTTAAAGAAGAAATTAAAGTAAAAATAAAAGAATGAAGAAAGAAATAAAAATTATAATCAAAGCAAAGAAATAAATAAATAAAAGATGTATAACTACAAGAATAATATATATAAGAAAGAAAAAAAACACATAAAAACAAAGAAACAGAATAACAAATTGTTGGTTTAGAAATAATAGTAAATAAGGAGTTAAAAATAAAGAAATAGAAAAAATAAATAGAAAAGAAATAAGTTAAGCATTAATAGAATTTGTTTCTATTGTTCCTAATTCAGTGGAGACTAGTCCTACCCTGAGTCGTTTTCTAGTAGTTTCACAACATATGTTTGGTTGTGATAGAAGCAATGTTCAATGACATTATCATGTTTTTAATTATATGGTTTTTGATTTCTTTAATGATGTCAATTTCGATTTTTAATTATTTAATTATTTTAATACTTTCTATATTTATTAGCCCATTTATTGAAATTACTACTCCAATTATTTTAACATCCTTTAATTTATCTATTTTCATCACCCTATTTTTTATTCTTTATAGATATTTCTTTTCTTCAAATACCCTCCATTAATATTATGATCTGCCACAATAGTCATATCAATTATTAGACCAGTTTTATTCTTTTTATCTGGTACATATATATCTATGGTATTTTATGATATTATTAATAACTTTTTGGCATTATTTGAATAAAAATAAAAAATGAACTAATTATAGATAAATAACAATAATATTAAATATTATTATTTTATTATTAATTTTATTATATATTATTGTTATTTAAAATAATAATAAAATAAATAACATTTAATTTAATGAATAAAATGAAATGATGTTTATTAAAATAATAAAATAATAAATAAAATAATGTGTTATAATGTGTATTTAAGTATTTAATCATCTGATTTTAATCTTAAATACATTAAATTAAAATGGAAGAGTTAATAAACAAGAACACTCATTTCATTAAAGAAGAAATAGAAACAATTCCAAATATTCAACAATCAATTGATGATATTAATAAACAATATCAATATTATTTAGGAAGTATTAAAAATGAAATATTTGAAATACAAGACAATGAAACATATTCAGAAGCTATTAAAAGAGGAGAAGGAATATTTGATAGAAATGATGAAACAGAAAGAAGAAGAAGAATGGTAATAGAAAAAAGTCAAGAAACAATTAAAAGAATAGAAATAATAAAGAATCAAATGAAGAAAATAATAGAAGAATGTAATTCAGATGAAGAAATACTAAGTAAAACACGGAATGAAATAATCAATAAAATCATTTCAATTGAAGAAATGACAATGAAAAATAAAATATTCAGAGCACCAAAAGAAAAAGATAAAATCACAGAATCATTTAACAAAAAGAAAAAAGAATGGAACACATATTATAGTGATTAATTAGAGAGGAAGAAGAAAAAAGAAGAAAGAAAGAAACAAGAAGAAGAAAGATAAGAATAATGAAAGGAATGAATACAAATGAAGAAATGAAACAACTAGAAGAATGGACAAATAGAAAAGTATCCAATATAATATTTGATTCAGATAATGATAATTGGAATAAGAATATATCAATATTTAATCAAAGAATAATAAATAAAGAACATATAATAATTATTATTGAAGATGAAGATGGAGATAAATTTGGAGGATATGTTAATATAAATTAATAAAGTTAGAGAAGAGGTAAATGATCCAAAATCATTTTTATTTTCATCAAAATCAAAAAGAAGAATAAAATGAATGATGAAATTTGATATTAATAAACCACATATGCATTTTATTTATTTAATCAATCAGACGAATGTTTGTTTGAATTTGGATTAGGTGATATTTTTGTTTATAAAGAAAATGATAAAACAAAATCATATTGTGAACAATCTTCATTTGAATATAAAGGAATAACAAATTCACTTTGTGGAAAAGAATATCAAGAACATTTCACACCACACCGAATCATCGTGAACTTGTTATTTCTTTACAAAATCCATTAAATATGATTTTCCATTATACTTAATATCTTCTTTTTTCTTTAATTTCTATTATATCATATTATTTAATTTTGTATATCCTTTTATATTTCTTTTGTTTCAATATTTCATTCTTTGTTTCTTTTATATATTTCTTTTATCTTGATATTTCATTTTTATCTTATATTTATCCACTAATTCTTATTACAACAATAATCATTATAATGACTATTAATTTGTTCTGTTATTCATCGAAATGTATTATTCATTTCTTGATATTTAACAACATTAAAATAGAAATATAAACTTATAAAAATGAATGAATTATATGTTTGCCATAAGTTTATTATTCATAATTACATTTGATGCTAGAAATAATAGAGGGGGTTTGATTCAATTTACTTTATTCATTATTATCTTAAACTTGCTTTGATTCAAATGAAAAACAGTTTCAAGAACATAATATTACCATTCTTTAAATACTATACCAAACGAATTTGTAAAAGAAATATAAAACAATGAAAAAAGAAATTTAAATTCTAATTAATGTAATAGATAAACAAAGAATATTTCTAATAAAAACAATATAAAAGGGTAATTGGTTTTATGTTTGTAATAAAAAGTGCTATTCATAGTCTTATTATTTTTTTTGGATGTGAACTTATACTATTTGAAATAATTTTTGTTAATAATAATGTATCTTATAGTTGTTCTAAAATAATAAAAAGTAAGAACAAAGCAGATTTTATACTCTACACCACTTCGTTTTTACTTTTGGGTACAACTCATCCCGAGACTTTTGGGGAAATATGAGAAAAGTGGCACAGATTCTCATTGGTATGAGCTATTTATAAAAATACAATTGAAATGGAAGTGAGAATGGTTATTCAAAATCACTTGTTTCGATAACTTTTGATTAATCACAATCTTATTATTATAAACATGAACTTAACATGCTTTGAACCTGTCTCTGTTATACTTGATGGAAATACATTCATTCAGAACCCAAGTAATGAAATAAGTAAGACAAAAGATAAGAAAATGAGAATAGTTAAATCACAAAGAATGGATAAGAAGTTTCCTAAAATCAGGATTTCATTAGAATCACTAGAAGAATTGAAGAAGATTAGAAGGGATACACAATGTAAATCATATTGTGAAGTAGTTGAGTTTCTAATTGACCACTATATTCAATCAAAAATAACAGAAGATTGTAAATAATATTACTTTTTTATATTGATTTATGATTTTAAATGAAACAAACCATAAAAAACATCACTGAGGAATTAAATCAATAACAACAATCTCTGGTGGACAATTCACTCTAAGTCCATAATGACTTCCTATTCCAGATGTCACATAAACTGGAATTGATGTTTGGTTGTATTGTAAATGATATAATCCATGGATAACTTTCCATTTTTGTAAATCCAATAATCTCAAATACATAATTTTCCACCATCTCAACATCCATGCCTTGAAAAGTAATAATGGACAACCAATAAATGGGATAATGACTTGCCCACCATGAGTATGTCCACAAAATATTGCACTGATTTGAATATTTTGTTGATTAATATCATTCGATTCTGAAAAGATTGGGTCATTTAACACTGAAGGAGTATGAGACAATAAAATAATCTGTTGGTTTTGTGGTAGAACTAAAGTTGAATTATTTGTATAATAATCAATCCCAAAGAAATGAATACAATCAAATACATATTCCTCGTTTAATAATATTGAAATACCAATAGATTGTAATGCTTTGATAATATCATCTGGTGGTCGAAGTTTAATGTCATGATTTCCGATAATTCCAATACATTTAAATTTATGTGCAACAAATTCAAAAGATTTAATAAAGAGTATAATGTCTTCATGAGCAAGTTGGATATAGTCCCCAAGAAAAATTACTAATTCAGGATTAGTCTGAAATATTATATCAACTGATTGTTTAATTAATTTGGGATGAAAAGTTGTTTGATCTTGTTGGAAGTGGAAGTCAGAAAGGATAACTATCTTGTGTTTGTGACAAAGATTTTCTACAGGAAGAGTTAAAGACACTGGGATTAAGTTGTGGTAAGGAATAAAATGGAAATGAATAAAGGCTAAGAACAGAAAGAGAATGAATGTAAGTAATTGTGGACAAATAAAGAGAGAGAAGAGTGAAATAAACATTAGAAGTGATGAAACTTTATAGAAGTTCATTGTAAAAGAAAGGGAATGAATGAGAAACAAATAGTTTTATTTGAGAAAGAAAATAAGAAAAGAGAAAATCTAAAAACTTAAAAATAAAAAGATGAATGAGATATTACAATCACCATTCAATGTTATTAAAGGAATTAGTGTTGGACCATTTAAACTTGGAATGCCATTATTTGAAATTTTAAAGTCATTAGATATTGGACCAAGTGCAACCAACTCTGCACAAACATATATTAGTTATAATGAAGAATATCCAACAACAGGAAGAATTATTATTAAAAATTTGGCACATTCATTAACATTATATGTTGATACTAAAAAACAAATTCTTATTTGTATTGAAATTGAACATATGAAAGTTCAACTAAAACGATCTACTCATGAATTTCTTGTGCATACATCAGCATCTCCACAAGATCAAGAAGATAATTTTGGAAAATTATCTATAGCATTTAATAAATTAAAAGAACGAACAATCAATAATATAACAGAATTATATGATGGATCTATTATATTTCAATTTTCTGGTACTGCAGAGAAAGGAAATGAAAAAAAGAAATTAGGATTAACAAAAATTATTATTAAAGATGATAAAGTAGAACCATTAAATGAATATAGGTTATCTTTTCTTCAAGTTGATATTGACGTTCTTGCTCAATCATTAATTATAGGAAATATAATATTATATCACAAAGAACATGTTGAAAAAGTAACTGCTGATCTTGGTTTTCCACAAGGAGAAAAGAAAGTAAAAACAACTGGAGATTATTTTTATAATTATTTTTCACAAGGATTTGATATTCTCTTTGATTCAACAACTCATTGTATTAAAAAATTTGTTGTTCATTCAAATAATCCAAGTGATACATTCTTTGGTAATTATTCTAAATGTTTCTTTAATGTAAAATTCTCTAATGGTATTATTGTTACACCAGAATCATTATGGAAAGAATTAAATTTCAAAACTGAAGATCCAACACTTCTTGATGATAATATTGAATTATACCAATATGAAAATTGTTCCTTTGAAATTCATTCTAAAACAAGTTCAATATTAACTATTTTTATTTGAACAAAATCGAAACAATTTCTTAAATTATAATTTCATCTCAACCAAAAAATTAGATAAAGGTTTTAATTTTTGTTTATGTCATTAATCATTTCTAATAATATTTTTAATTTCTCAGAATTACATGCAGATGGAATTTCTAAATCCTTAATATCATCATAACTTAATCCAACTTTTATAATACATTCTTTAAAATATTTAAGTTCTTCTTCTGTTAATTTTAAATCACAAACTTTTGGTTTGTGACATTTTTCACTTTCTTCTTTTAATTTCTCATTTTCCTCTTTTAATATTTGTATTTCTTGATCTTTTAAGTTAAGTTCATTTTTTATTCTATTATATTCTTTCTGAATAAATTCAATTCGGTTTTGTGATTCCTCTTGAAGGGTATGATAATATAATTCCATTTGTTTGTCTGTCATAAACTGAAATTTAAATTATTTATATAAGTTTTCTTTTTTTTTTTATTTTATTATTTTTTTAGAATCTAATAGAAAACTATACAAATAACTTTATAAAATTATTACTAAACTATTAACTCATCTAATAATGCTCAGCTGGAAACCATCATATCCCCCTTGTCCTGATTTAACTTCTTCTATAGAAACAATAGCAAATGCAAAAGAGTTCATTAATCAATTGGATGAACATCTCATGAATAATAATGGTGTTGTCTTATTTGAAAAAATTGTTACTTTTATCTTTAACCAACCTACTTTGGGTTATGTAGCTGTTCCTCATTACATTCGGTTCAACGAAAAAACTCCAATCCCTTTAATTAATTTTGTAAGATATATTGTTCAATATGCACCATTTGATGAATTACCAGATTGTATTCTCCCATTAATTGTATCAACAGCAATTGAACTAATTAAAGGACATGAACCTGAAGACACTTTAGATGATCAAGATAATTTATTGTATGAACTCTACAAAATTCTTATACAGGCAATTATTATTGATGAAAAAATAATTGACTTAATCAATAAAACTATTCACATCATTATTAATCAACTTATTTCAATTCATCCACTACAATTTAAAGAACTCAGAAATACTGTTTATCAACTTATATCTTATTTACCAAATAAAGATGAAATAATGAATCAAATTGTAAGTCAATTAATCACTCAATATCACCAACAATTCATTAATTCATTATTTATTAAATCTAATAATTCAAATAAATATTGTGGAATGGAGAATTGTGGTGCAACTTGTTATATTAATAGTGTCATTCAACAACTTCATAATAATGAATCTTTTAAAGAGTCTATTCTTCAAAGTGATTGTGGTGATTCTTGTTTCATATTAAAAACATTATTTGAACGAATGGAACAAAACAAAAATTGGATTGTAACAAGAGATATTATTGAAAACATTCTTGGACCATCTAACAAAATTGATATTAGTGTTCAAGATGATGCATATCTCTTCTTAACTAATTTACTTGATATTCTTAATGAAGATAACAAAATACCAACTAACAATTGTATCAATGAATTTAAAATTATAACAAAAACAATATTGAAATGTACAGAATGTCAAAAAATTCGTGAAAGAAATGAAATAAACACATCAATATCTGTAGATTCTGTTAATAATGAATCATTAGATCAAGCACTAAATAATTTAATTAAAGAAGAAGAAATGAATGATATTGATTGTCCATTTTGTAATAAGAAAACAAAACAAATCAAACAAATAAGTTATGAATCATCTGAGAATCTCATCATTGGAATTAATAGAAATAAAACTATTGAAGGAGGAAGAAGTTATAAATTCAATAAACGATTTGAGTTTCCTCTTAAAATGAAATGGAAAGATAAAGAAATGGAATTAAATGGACTTGTTTTACATAGTGGAACAACAGAAATGGGACATTATACCTCAATCATTAAAGATAATAATGGAAAGTGGTGGAAATGTAATGATAAAGTTGTTGTTGAATATAATGAAAAAAGAATCCTTGAAGATGGATATGGAACGGTGAGTAATTCATTATCAGCATCAATTCTATTTTATAAAATAAATGAATCTAATCAAATTCAAAATTCTAACAAAGAACAAATTCAAAATATTAGTGAATATAACTCTATGAATAGTATTGTCCATGATAAACAACTTTATGAATGGACTGAAAAACAAATAATTGATTCTTCTTCACAATGGAAGAGTCAAGAATGCATTGATTTAATTACTCTCTTACTCTATAAAGGAGATTATTTATTCTTTAAAGATATTAATTCTTTAATTCCTATAATAAAAAATAAATCAATTACAATAATACAAGAACTTGTTTCAAAACAAAATGAATTACCTACAATAATTACTGATTGTATTGTTGGTATAACAACATTAAAAAATGCCTTAATATGTATTGAACTATTTGATAAATCATCAGAAAATAATACCTGGATTACAACTAAACTTGTTGAATTAATACCAAAATATACTACTTCACATCAACATATCCTTCTTTCAAAATTGTTCCTAAAATGTAATGAATGGTTTGGTTTATGTGAAGTAACTCCATATGAAATGTCAATTCTTCACTTGCTTATCCAATCTTCTTCTCTTTCAGAAGAGTCATATCAACTACTTTTAGTTCTATGTAACTATTTTCAACAATGGCTTATTCAAAACAATATTAAATTTATTCAAGATGTACTATCATTAATTACTACTACATCTCAGTTAAATAATATTAAACAATACAAAGACTCATTAAAAAAACTCATCAATACTACAGGAACTCTTCTTAATCTTCTTCCTCTTCTTAAATCACTCATACAACGATTAATCACAGAAAAAGATACTGAAAAACAAATAATATTGAAAGATTTAATTGTTACAACACAATGTACAATTAAATCAGAGAATAGTCGTATAGAAATAATGGATTATTATATGACTCTTCTTTTAAACCATTCAATACTTCAAGAATGTTTTGAAAAATTTATTAATTGATTTTTTTAGAGTGTTCAAATAGAAAAATTATTTCAAACAATCAATTAATCTATTCCTCCAAGATCATAATCATCTTCTTGACTTTTGAATTCATTAATTTTTCTTCTCATCTTTGATTCATCATCCCAAGTCACAAAATCTTCTTTTTTTCTTGAAACAATATATGCTGGATTTCTAATCACATCAGGTCCAACTTTGATATGACCTTGTTGAATTAATGTCTCTGCTTGTGTGACATCAGTTACCATTTTTTTTGCTTTTACAACAATAGCTAATCTTCTTCTACAAAAGTCAGAAGCATGAATAACATCAATCATATGTAATCCCTTTTCTGGTAGTATGATAACTCCTAAATCATATCTAACAACAATTATTAGTATAGTTTTTATGAACAACATTTTAAATTAACAAACAAACAATCTATCACAAATTCTCTTTGTTAATACCATTCGAAACGCATCATCTTTAGGTAATTTTTGTAACAAAAAACTAAGTTTTCTTAAATTTAATACTGCTTTTTCATAAGCTTCAAATTCACTTTCATCATGAATATGAAATCGAGCCATAATTCCTGCTTTTCTGATTCCTTTATCACGACTCCAATCAACAAAGTCAACTTTTTTCAATAACTTTGATTCATGATATTTAAGCTTTCTAACCATTAATTTCTTTTATGTTTTTATGATGTTTCAGGGTTATGGTATTTTTATAGTTCTTTTTATTATTCTTTTTATTATTTCTAATTTATGTTATAAATAACATTATTTAAAAATGAAAATAAATTTTTAAATTAACACATATTGACTTTTTGACACATTTCATGACTTGTTGATGAGATAAAGTCAAGTGAATGAGTGTCATACAATGTCATTAACTTCATTGCAATTTCATTACAACGACCAGTTGCTCCAATTGTTTCAAATTTATCACATTTCTTTTTGAGTAAATTAAAAATAATATTTTGTTTTTTTCTTTCAAATATAGCACTTCTTATTGTTTTAGCTAAAACAAAACATCTCTCACATAATTTTCCTTTTGTTTTATTCTTTTCAAAATGGGTATTAATTCTTTCTATTTGATATAATCTATCTATACTTCTTTTAACAACTCTTCTCCATTCATCATAATTAATTCTTAAATCTTCAATTAATGGATCATTTATTTGAATACCTTCTCCAAGTTGTTTTGCTGCAATATCTAATTCTTTTAGTGCATATTTTAATAATTCAAGATTTAATTGTTTAATTCCATTAATACCTTTACCTATTTCTGCCTGAGCTTTCCAATGGAATTCAGCTTCCCATTCTTCTCCTTTCTTACCCATTCTTTCACAATATTTTCTTAGTCGTTCAAATGCATTCTTTCGTTTTAAAATTCCTTCTGCAATCTTAATTGCCCAACCACTATGTGCTCTAACTAATGTTTCTTGAACATATCTACGAATTTCTTCTATTCCCATTTCTAACATTCTAACATCATTGTTAGCAATATCTAATTCACCAATAACATTTCTTCCTTTTTGAACTGCCATTTTTAACCATTCTCTTCTTTGAATATGTCTTTTTAATTCTTCTTCAATGGCTTTACTTTCTTCAATAACAACTCTTCTAAATTTCTTTTCTTCAAATTGACTTTCTTGTTCTTGACTTGTATTCATTGGTCCAATAATTTCTTTTCCATTAACTTTTTTCCACATATTATCATTACCAGTTATACTCTTTGCTTGAATTCGAACACCATTCATCATACCATTATTTCTTTGTATTGCACTTCTTTCTGAAAGAATAACCATTGTTTCACCAATAACAGTGATTCTTTCAATAGATTTTCTGATTAATTTTCTTAACTCAATAATAATATTATTTTCTGTCTCTTTTACATGTTTTTTAATAATTCTTTTTCTTTCTTCTAATTCTTTTAAATGTAATTGAATGTGTTTTTGTTCTATTTCAGGAATTCCAGTAGATTTTAATCTTTCTTGATTTTTTCTTATTTGAAGTTTAACATCTAATAGTTTTTCTCTCCAATTTCCAACTAAATCTATTAATTTCTTTCTTTGTTCATTTTCTACTTCAAATAATTCTTTCTTTAATAATGTTTTTTTGATATTTGCTTTTTTAACTTCTTGTTTTAATCCATTTTGTTCAGCAATCTTTTGAATAGTTCGATTCATTAAGATTTTTGTTTTTAACTTTAGTTGTTCTAATTTTTTCTTAGTGACATGTTGATTGATTGGAGGATGGTGTGATGCTTTTTGTTTGATAAGATCAAGATTAATTTTATCAATTTCTTCACGAAAAGTTTCTTTTGTTTTTCTAATGTTTGTTGCTGCTTTATTTCCTTGTGCTCTTTGAAGGGCTTCATCAATATACATTTTTCTATATTTACTAATACTTTTGCTCATTTCTTTTGCCATTTTCTTTGCATTTAAATTAATTCGTTTTTGTTCATTAGCTAATTCAATTGTAATCTTTCTAATTTTTCCTGCTAGTTTTGGAATTCTTTTCTTATCAATTTGGTCTTTTGAATGTACTAATTTCTCTAATTCTTTTTTGTAAAATGTTAAATGAAGTTTAAGATGTTCTAAATGATGTGTATGAATTACTTCAATAGGATTTTTTGAGAGTTGTTTATCTATTCGTTTTGAAATTAATTTTTTAAATCGTTCTAATTCAGGTTTTGTAATTTGTAATTTCTTTTTTTGTTCTAATGTTTTAGCAAAACACAAAAAGAAGAAGAGAAGAATAAAAGAAATGATTTTCATAGAAAAGTTAAATTAAAAATGAATTTTTAAAGATTTTAGATTAATTAGAATTAATTTATTAATATATAAATTATAAATAAATTTTGATGTTTTTTTAAAAAGAAAACTAAAAAATAAAAAGAAACTTAAAATAAGAATACAAATAATTAATTAAGATGTGATATATTTAATTCATATTTTAATTTTCTATACCAATTATCATGATCACATACTTCTAATAAATGAAGTTGTAATTGAGATTGAGTAGGATTTTGAGGTAAAGGATGAATAATTGGTTCAACACCAATTTTATTTTTAATTTGATTAATAATATTTGAATCTATATCATCAAGAAGATAAAGTTTAGGAGAGGCAGGTTGAGATATTATTGGAGATAAATCTTTTTTAGTATTTTTTAATAGAATAGTATCACTTCCAAAAACAATTCTTTTTACTGAAATAGAAGCAATTTCCATGAAAGTTTTATAATTATAATCAGCTTTATAAATAATATCAGTTTTTAAAAATCCTTGAAGACTTTGGAGATAAATTAATAATTCATCAAATTTAAATTCACTTGATTTTATTTTTTGAGAATGATCTAATAAAATAGATGCTCCAATAAATAAATGAAATTTTCTTGAAGGATAAGCAAAGATAGAATCCCAAATTCTAAAGATATTTGATAAACTAAATTCTCTTTTAAATAATAGAATTAACCATTGATATACAAAAACAAAACCATTACATTTGTTCATTATTACATTATATAATTCATTATCTAATATTTGAATAATATATCCAAATCCAGTTAAAATATTTTCCATAGTATTATCACAAAATGGTGATATAAATTCCATAATATTACAAAATAATGAAAATTGTTCTTTTTCATCATCAACTACTTTTAGAATAACTGCTAAAATATCTGTCATTCCTTGTTTAAATCCAATATTACTATGACTACCACAATATGCTTCTAAAATTCTTTTTATTTTATAATAGTCTTGACTTTCACGTTTAAAATAAATTCCATCAATTTCTGTTCTTGGAATATCTTTTAAAATATTATCTTTTATTTTTTTCCACCATTCTAAATTAATTATATTAAGATATTCAACAATAATTAATGATGGAACATAAAGTTCTTCATATGATCCTCCAAGACATTTCTTCCAACCAAATCCTCTTACATTTTCTTTTAATCCAGAATAAAATGTATTTAATCTAATTATTTCATCATTAGTAAATGGATTAATTATTTCTTCTCCAACAGTTAATTTATTCCATTCAAAATAAAAACTATTTAATTCTTCATTAATAATATTTTCTTTTGTTAATTTTAATGATTTTCTTTTAGGTTTCTCTTCAATATTCTTTTGTGAATTTAATTTTAAATTAATATTTAAACAAACACTTTTTGATCTATGACGTATTGTTGATGGAAGAGATAATGATTTATATACTTTATCAATACCATTTGTTAAAATTGTTTCATTTTCTTTATGTTTTTGAGAAATTGGAATATGTTTATCAATTTGAGAATTTTCATTATCAAATATTTGTTGTTTAACTTGATAAGATATTGGAAATATATCTTTCTTTATAGGATGATTTAAAATACATTTAAATCCATTCATATTAATTTGTTCAATAAGAATATCTATTGTTGCAGTTGTTGGAAATAAGAAATTTGGATAAATAAGAAATACATGTGTTTGTGTTTTAAAATGAATTTGATAGAATCGTTTGTTTGTAGTTGAATTAATTATTTTAGTATTTAAAATTTCAATTAATTCAATATGTTCTACTTTTAAAATATATTCAAATTCTCCTAAATTTTCTGTTGAATTTGTTTGTAAATTTAATGTTGGTATGTATTTTAATGTAATAATCCCATCAATTGAACATAACTCTAATTTCCCTTCAATTAAATAATCATTATTCATAATACAAATATTTGAAAACATAAATAATGTTTTTTCTAATGGAGGTGTTGTTGTTGTAGAATATGAATTTTTAAATATTATTTTACTTAATTTTGATTCTCCTTTGTAACTATTTGATAAGGTTTTCATTTTAACTGAAATTGTTTTGATTTTATTTTTATAAAGTTCTTTTTTTTCAAATTTCAATGAATTCTTTGAACAGATAGATTGAAAATTCATTCTCAATAAATAATACTTTTGTTGTCTTAAAGAAAAAAAAAATCAATTTAATTACACAATCAAATATTTTCTTCAACAACTTCAAAATAAAAAAAAACCATTTTGTCAGTTATATTGGTTGTTATTCTATTCCAGAATACAACTACTGTTTATAAAACAACTTCTTCAGAATATCATTAAAACTGATGGATTCTTTCATAAAACATATTATACTCAATTCAATAGAATATATACAGAATTCTTCTTAATACAAAACACTCAAAAAAAAAACAATATATCTTCCTATGAAAATAAGATAATTGAATAATAAATAAAATGGAAGAAAACAATGAATAAAATAAATTTATGACATTAGAATCATATAAATATTAGATACTTAGATTTACCAAAAAAATATATTAATTGAATAATTTAATATTAATGTGTTCAATAAAAAGAAATGTTACTTTAAAAGTAATTGAATACTATTGATCTACTTAAAATTATCTTCAACATTGATAAATTCATTAAAAATAAAATCTGTTAACTAGGTAATTCATATTTATTATAAAGATTATAAAAGAGCTTTTAAATAGATAACTAATTCATTTATATTTAATACATTATCATTATATAACAAATAATATTTAATAATGTTAATATTAATTAAAAAGAACAATTTAAAAAATAAAGAAGAAAAAAAAAAGAATACAATTCAATATTAATTTTTAAAGAATCTTTTGGAAATAATCTACTCTTATATCAATAGCTCTATTCAATATACGAGAAAAGGTTATATCATTCATTTCTTTACAATAATTCCGATTAAGTTTATTAACTTCTTCAATATCTCTAATATCAACAACATGACTAACAATATCTTCAATCAATGCAGCAGCAAAACAAACAATACCATTTCTAAATCCTTTTCCTCGTGGATCTGAAATAAAACGATCCCAAATAACAATAACTTTTTCTACAGTGAATTCTCTTGAAAAAAGACATACAAACCATCTCCATGTTTGTTGTTTTAACATTTGTTCATCCATTTTCAATGCTTTTGAATTCATTACTTTGAGTAAATTAAGAAAATCATTCATTAATCCTATTGCATGAATATCTTTTTCTATTCCATAAATATTAACTGCAAGTAAACTTGATAATGCTTCAAGAAATGAATATGTAGTTGATTCTATTCGTTTGAGATCTTCTAAAGAAAGTTGTATAATATCTTCAACTTTTAACTTTTGTTTAGTAAACATATCCACAAGTACAATAATAATAATTGAAACAATATCATTTAATCCTTGAAAATATCCTTTTGGATGTATATATAGAAACATTCTTAATACTCTTCTAAGAACATTACGAAGACGGTCTGATTGAAACAAAGAATCATATCCAATAGGATATGTTCTAGTTACATCCCAATCAATAACTTCAGCATCTTCAGAATATAAAAATTGATCTGAATCAATATGAAATTCATTTACATTATTCCAATATAAAAGATTATTTTCATTATTACTTAAACCTCTAATTTCTTGTGTTGTTTTAGGACGAAGAAGTAATGCATACCAAACAAATCCTCGAATTTTTCTTGGAATTCCAAAACAACACACTTGTCTTACTTTAAGATAATCTCGTTTATTTAAATATTGACAAATTTCTCCACACATAGAATAATCCCCTTCAAAATCTACTTTATCTATTAAAAGATTACTAACTGCTGTTGTTGTTCCTTTAAATAATGAGCTAATTGCATTTGACACATTTGTTCCATTAATAAAATCAAAAATCCCTTTCTTTTCTTCTTTTCTTTCCATAAGATAGAAACAATGACAGTTCCTCTTCAATTTTTCGTTCCTTTTCTCAATAACATTATTTGTTTTTTTTTTTTTTCTCTTTCTTTCTTGATTTGTGTGATTCTTTTTTTGTTTTTTTTCATTCAATTTATTTTTAGAACTTTAAATATCAATTTATTTTTTATTTTTTCAAAATGAAAGATTAAGATAAAACAAAAGCAAATAGAGTTTAATGAATTCATAGAAGTAATTATCTTCCATTTTATAATGTCTAGATAATTTATTAGAATATGAAAAAAAAGATAAGTCAAAGTTATCAAATTCTTAAACTAAATGGTAATATAAAATCAATAAAGAGAAGAAATAAAAATTAAATTTTCATTCAAAATCAATCAATTGAAAAATGGAATTTATAAAGAAAAGTCCCAAGAATTTTGTTGCCATGATGATTCTTCTTTAGATGTAGTTGGTTGAATTTCATCAATATGACGTTCAACAATTAAATTCTTTACATTTTCTCTAAAAGTACTTGGGACATCATAAGGATCATATGAACATAAAGGACAACTAATAAATTGAGGTTCACTTAACAAAGCATGTTGAGCTAATACTTGTTGTGGGTCCATTAATTGTTTTTCTTTACAAATATTAACAAATTCTCTAATTGTTTTTTGACTACAATTACCAAGAGGATTACATTGATCAACTATCATATGAACTAATATTGATTGTTGTCCAAATAATCTACTAATATCTGTTCTTGTTTGTAATTCAATAATTTTATTATTAATAATACGAAAAACTTGTTGACATAATAATAATTTAATAATAACATTATTTTCTATTTTAAATATTTCTCCAATTTGATTAATTATTTCTAATGTTATAGTAGCAGGTAATATTGTTGAATCTGCAACAAATCCTCCAAGATGACAAATATATAATGCACGATAACTATCATTAATATTATGATTTTGTACATTTTCTATTAAAAATTTAACAAATTTACAACATCTTTCTTCATTATAACAATATGATAAATAAGCAATTGGTACATGTGTTAAATAACTTGCTCTTGCAACATATGCATCAAAAGCAATAAAAAAACTTTGTTCTAATTCTAATGGAATATCTTTTATCCATCCAAGTAAGAAAGAAATAATATTATCTAATGAACTTGCTGTATCATTTTCTTCCATAGCAAATAATTCTGTAGATTTTTGTAATTCAGAATCATATAAAACTGCTCGATCAATACTAGCTAAAATTGCTAATCCTGCAACTTCTGGTACTGAAGGAATAGCTTTTAAAAAGAATAAAATATATGTACAAAATTCATTAATTGGTCTCCAACGTGTAGGAACACATTTAGTAAAAATTTGTGGAAAAACTCTAGAAGAAAGAGGAACAACTTCAATAAATTTTTGAAAGAGATTACTTAAGACAGGAAAAATTACTTCATTATCTGGAATAACTCTAAGAAATAAAGAATTAAGAGCACCTTGAACATGTGTTGTATTTGCTGTAACTAAATGAAGAAGAAGTGTTCCATAACCTTCATAAATAGGTTGACTTGGAGGAAGTTTAATTGTATATATTGCATTTAATAATTCAGTATGAGTTGATTGAATTAATGAAGTACATTGAGTTAGTGATTCAATCCACGTTATTATTTTATCATTAAAAGGGTTATTTAATTGTTGAACTAAAAAATTATATTTAAGAGAATCATGAAGAGCAAATCGATTTATTGCTTCTTGAACAAATTTAACAGTACTTTCTAATTGTTTTGAACACTCTGTATTAGTCATATATTATTAATTTTTCAAGTTTTCTTAGTTTTTAATTCTTTTATTTATATTTTTTTTTTATTTTTTTTTTAACCCTTTTTATTTCTTTTATTTGTTCTTTCTTTTATATCCATTCTTCCTCTACTTTCTTATTCTAATCTATTACTTATTTTCTTAATATGAATTAAAAAAAGGATGTTCCTTCTTTATGAAACACATATTTCTAACAAAGTAAATCTTCCTTATTCTTTGAATCTTATCATTGTTTCAAAAGAGGGTTTTATTTTTACATTTACTTTGAGGAATGACTTTGATGTATCTTTTTTTTTATGTGATATATCCCATATTCTACTTAAAAGAAAAATCATTTTGTTGTTATTAATTTTCTGTTTTTTCATAAAAGTTCTTTTGTTTTCTTTTAAATAATAATCTCTTTCTGAAATGTTCCAAATAATTTATATCATTAAAACACTATCTTTATAATCAAAGAAGATTATATTTATTCACTTTTCATAACAAAAGTAAAGTACATCTAAACAATAATTCAATTAAACTAAATACAACCTATAAAATCTTCTAATTCTATTTACCAATAAATGATGATTTTTCCTTTATTGTAAATAGTTATTCCTTTCTAGAACAAAAATTCAACCATTGTAAGAATATAATTCAACTCTAACATATATCTAAATTATTTATAATAAAAGAAATTTAATTTAAATGAGTTGAATTAAACCCAAAAGAATTGTACTATAATCTGTGTACTTTTTCAATAATTTAATGAAGAAATGATAATAGAAATTATAATATTTTGAAGAATAAATTAATAACACACTCTTTTGTAATTAATTATTGAAATGTTAAATATTTGTTTATTCTTTATTATCCATGGATTTATGGTTGTGTTAGTGAAGTAATTCTAGTAAAAGTGTGATAAAGATTATTTATTTGTGGTAGTGTTAGTGTTGTATTAAAGACATCTTTGCTAGATTTCCAATTAAACCATTGTGGTTCATTCAAATCAACAGAACAAACAAAAACTAATTGATTAAACTAATTAAAAATAAAAGAATCAAACAAACATTTTTCTGTAGAAAGATGATTCCAATTAATATAATGAAGTAATGCATTGACAATTGTACGTTGATCATTTTCAAGTACTATATCATCAACAACTAATTGTATTAATGTTTCTAACTCAACAATTATTAAAATAAGACTACGTATAAACTTGTTTCTGAATGGCTCTCTGATTTCTTTGAGAGTAGTAATTTTTTGTAATAATGTTATCAATGAACCAATAAGAAGATGTAAAGACAAAAGACTGTCATCTGTTAAATCTTGTTTATCCGTTAACCAAAATATAAAATCAATAGTTTCTACCATTCTTGTGATGTTATCAATAAAACATCGTGAGAGATTAATTCCTGAAAAACACTCTGAAAGATATTCTTGAGAAGCCGTGATTAGTGATACTAACAAATTTGATTTAAAAGGAAGAACTAAAGTGGAAAGAACAGACCCAACAGATTGAAAAATTGAAAGTGGAAGTGATGAACCAGTCACTCGATAAAAAGGCATTGGAGCTATAAATCGAAGAAGATAAAATGAAGAAGAATAACTAGACTTATTGAGTTGTAAAAGATACATTTGTAATGATACTGGAAAAAGTGAAGAGATTTCAATCACTTTTGATGAAGTAACTTCTATTAAATGTGGTAGACATTGAACTAAAAACTTTAAAGTAACATCTTTTAATGATAATGGTAATATTTCAAAGTAATTAAGTAAAGATAAAACCAATGTTTGTAAGTAATTATTGAATTTTGAAAGAAATGATTTTGGCATAATTACTGAGTGATATAATAAAATTGATGAAAAGTGAATAAGATCCTCGAAGATAGTGAAAGAATTAGATTCTAATGGAAGAGAAACTAAATAAAAAAAGAAGTCTTGAAGACTAGAGAAATAACATGGTAAAATATGATTTGATAAATCACACAAAAATAATGAGATAATTTGTGAAGATAATTTCATTGATGATTTAGAAAATAATGACAAAGAACGAGAATGAAAAAATTGTAATTCAGACAAATAACAGTAATGAAAATAATAACAAAGATGAACCAAATATGTTTGAAGTGAATGATCTTCAAATGAAATATCCTTCAAATATGTTTGAAAATCAAATAATTCTTCATTTGGTTCTTCTTGTGTTTTTGAAGAATTACAGGGTAGAATACAAGAATTAATTGGTTTTGGAGGTATTTCTAATAACTTTTTTAATAGAAAAGAATTAAACTGAATTGGAGTTGGTTCAAAATATTTTAGTCCACCAATTAACGAATGAAAGATAATTGAAATAGTAATTGGTGTTAGTGTTAATTCAATGGGAAAAATATCAGAATTTTGCTTATGGTTAATGAGTGTTCTCAAAAAGATAATTAACCCACCTTTTTGGTGAATATCAAAACATAACTTACTTAATTCTTCAACTATTGAGATTGTTTTATTGTTAATAATTGAGATATTTTCAAGCATTGATTCTTTGAAATGTTCGAAATCAATGAATTTCTGTTGTTCTGTATCTTCTTTTAGACTAACGGTTAATGAAAAAATTTGATTAAGAAGAGACACAATGTCAAAATGTTCATAGACATAATTGGTTTGAATTAAAAAGTGTAAACAATGAATAGAATTCAATGACTTATTATGAAGAAATTTCTGAAGTAATTGATTAATTTGTTTATGATTATTTATACTGTGAAACAAAGCATCAATAAATTTTATATGTTCTTGAAACTTTTCTTTCTTATTAATCCATGAATCTATCCAAAGTTCTATTTCTTCATTTTTATACTTCATGTAACAATTATTATTGTTGTTATTATTAAATTTCATAAATTCTTCTTCAATTTTATCCATATATAATTTTTAGTTCATAGTTCTATTTTAAAAGAAAAATGAAATTAAAAAACAAATACTAAATTTATTATTTCTACTTATTCATTCTTTTTTTTCATTATACCCAACAATTGCTTTTGTTTCCTTTTCACTTGTGTTTTTCTGATAACAAATAACATCACTTTTACTATGACTTTTTCTTGTGGTTGTTTACAACAATAACCTGTTCATGGGGTAATTCATGTGATTCGTTATGTTTGGTTTCTGTAGGAGTTGTAAGTAAATAAGGGACTGACGTTCTTTTTACTTTTCTTTGGAATAAAATGTCTTTAACACTATTTCTCTTCTCAAATACATTCAAATCCTTCAGTGCTTCATCACTAAACATTTCTTTAGCATTAGGAATCATCACACTATGTGATTTTCTTTTTGTTTTTGGATGTAATAAAGAAGGGTCTTTCTTTGCATCTTCTACTAATTGCTTAAAAGCGATCAAATCGTTTGGTTCTAATCCAAGAAATTCATATTCATCAGGAAACATTGTCATGAAATTATCTACTGTGCAATATCCAAAAGAAATCAATAAATCAGTCAGATGTTGGAGGTTTCTTTGACTGAGAAATGTACTTATTTCATTAAAAGAATTAAACTGATACTCTTTTGGTCTCTCTTTCTCTATTTCGTCTCCATTAAAATAACCTGCCAAATCTGGAATGAACCCTACAAGAAACTTAATAATTTCATCAGTTAACTCATCACAAAAATGTGTTTCTAGATCATAACTTCCATTATCTATCATAGCAATTCCTTTTTTATTTTGAAGCAGTGAATAAAGTTTTCTGATATATTTTTTTTCATTAATTAACTGACCAAAAATAACAGCAACAGGTGCAATTACTGCTTTTATATGACTAACTTTTTGAAATTTAGATAAAGTAACTAGGGATGTATTAACTAGTGGATTAACAAGAATAACTCCTCCAACTGAATGTTCTTTTCTACATTTATATGCTTGGAATAAAGTTGGTGCTGCCCCAGCCCCTTTACCAAATAGAATAATTTTATTTGAATCTACGTTCATTGTCTTAACAATATAATCAAAAACTTGAACAATAACTTTAGCTAGTGAATCTTCAGAAAATTCTGTTGTTCCGTTCATGTATCCTGGGTACTCATAACCAACAACAACAGAATGAAGTAATAATGACATTTTTCTTAACCATTCATAAATTGTTTCTAATCGCTCTGTTGAATGGTGGCTATAAAGAATTGTGCATTTTGGTTGCTGGTCTGATGGAGAAATAATAACAGATGGAATACTTCCATTGATTTCAAGATAATGTGGAAATGTTTCACAATGACTAGACTTTCTTTTTTTCCAGTGTTTTGCACCTTTCTTTAAAGAGACTTGTGTTTGTTGTTCCATCTAGGCTGAATGATTCCTTCTAATTAAGTTCCTTTCTTTATCAAATCCTCTATCTAAATTTAGTTTTGGTATTTTTCCTTATGATGAGACGGAGGTATATTTTTTTTTTAGTTAATTTTTTTATATGATAAGCTTATTTGTCATTTGAAATGCTATTTTTAGAAATTATTTATTTTTGTTGAAGAAAACACAAACTTTCTATTTTGAAAGTTGACGTGGAAAATAGTTCGGTTACTCTATAAATAAAAATAGACACTGTCTTCATGAAATTAAAAATAGAAAAGGCAGGCAAACACATGAATAAACAATAATAAATTCAATAATTGATGAATACCATCTTTTTGAGTATTGTTTGATTTAAAAATCATTATCATTATCAAATATTATCATATAAGATTTTAAGATTAGTTGGTTTGATTGTATAGAATGAGGAGATGAGTTTTGAGAAATATTTGAACTCCACATTGTCACTCTAAGTGTTGTTGAGAAGTTATTTTAGAAATTTAATATTCATGAAGATTAAATTTGCTACAGAACCTCTTATCTTCAACTCTTGTCTATTTATTATATGTATTTATCATAATTCATACTTAAACTAATAATATTATTATTATTTTTCTTATAGCTATTGTTATAAAAATACTTTAGAATAAAGACAAATTAGAAAAATGATTCAAGAAAAATAAAGAAAGAAAATAAACAATTGGTTTCTTCTCATTTCTAAGTAGTTCATGTTAGACATAATAGTTGTGATCGTTCATTTCTTCTTTTTATTATTCTTCGGTACTATTTATCATTTACAATACATAATTATTTAAGAATTCAATAGAGTTCTAGTAAATGACTTGTTCTACTTATGTAATACAGTTTTCTTGAGCTGGATTAAATATGATGAGTGGTTTAGTTTGAATAACTCACCCTCATGTTCTTGCTATTGAGAGGTGCATGAAGAATTATCAATTAATATATATAGGTGTTTTATTTCTGAATGAAGGAATTGAATTATAAGAAATAAAATTTTAAGACATTATAAGCTAATTTAATTCCCTACAAAATAACACAATCCAATAGTAAATTATTACGAGAAAAATGAATAAGAGCATCTTTAGTTTATTTAAAATAAAAAGATTAAAGATTATAAAGATGAGATTAGAAGAAAATATTTCATTTTTTATACTTTTTCTTTTATACAGAAAAGTATTTTAAGAAAAAACCAAAGAAAAAAACAAATATTTTGTTAAATAATTTTGATATTAACAAATAAAATATTGCTATAAAATAAATAAAATTACATGGTAAAACTAAATGGTATTTGTTCATTTGGAACAAAATAAATTTCATTACCATCAGAAATATATGAACCTACAATAGACCCTTCAATTGGAATACTTTGAGCAATATTTTGTTGACACATTTCAGTTTTATAGAAACTGAATGGAAGAGTAGGAATAGAAGCATGATTAGCCTGTAACGATTCGTTAGTAACAGTAATAGTCATTTCTCTACCAAACATTTCTTCAATTTGTTTACTAAATGCAGTACCAACAGATTCAAGTAATTCACTTCCAATAACATCACCAAAAGGTGTAGTTAATGAACTAATTTTAACTAAACGTTCTGTACATTTAGTTTTTTTAGTTTGTTTAATACTAAAAGAATATCCAAGTGTCCTTAAAAGATATAATAATCCATTATTAATTTGTGCCTCTTTACTTCTATTATATTGTTTATCATTCATAGAATTAATATCCATAGGCTCTTCTCCAACTACTTCCTTAATTAAAGAATCACTCATAGAGGCAAGTGTATTTTGGTCATATAATGTGCCATTCAAATTAACGGTTTCAGGTAAGTACATCTTTACCGTTTGTTTAGATCTTTTAGTCTTTCTAAATGTAACACTTCCATTCATTTGTGAAATGAACACATAAACTATTGCATTAGTTATACATGCCTCACTACTTCTAGAAACTCTCTTACGATCACGAGAGAGTGATGGTTCTGGACAATTCATAGCCATTTGGAATATTGTATGGTTTCTTTCTGTCACTATTTCCTTTAAATAGGTTTATTTTTAAGTTCTTAGATCTAGGTATTTAAAATAACCAATCAATTTAAAAGAACTAGAAAAATACAACCAATCATTTATGAAAATCTTTAAATTAATTATATAGTTCCTTATTATTTTTGTGTCAATTTGATTCAATAAAGAGTGATGAAGTTTTTATAATTAATAATTGTTATATATAACGTATAATTATAACAAAATCAAATAAGGAGTTAAAATTATTAATTGTTATTTTATTTGATAAATTTAATTAATCAAATAAAATTAATATATTCATATATAAATATTTATTTTAAAATTAATTTTATTATAATAATTGATATTGTGATATTGTATTGTATAAAATAGTAAATATATGATGATTAACAATTATATTCTTTATATTTTTTTTATTTAATTTATGTTTATTTTGATTATTTATAATTTTCTTATTAATTAATAATAAAAGATTGATATTATGGTTGTTCAAATTTCTCAATTATTATTTCATTATTTTAGTATAATTTTTATCTAATTAAATGTATTTATTTTATGAATATGAATCAATTTTGTAAATATAATTTGATAACATTATTTTAGAATAATACATTAAATAGATAATAAATAATAATGAAAATAAAATATAAAATGCAGAATATTAGAATTAATTTAAATTTCTTTAATAATTAATAAGTAATTAATTAAAGATATTGTAAACCAATTACTTCTCTATTGTTCTAATACAGTTTTCACTAATAAACAATAAAATTAGTAATACTTTCTATAGACAAAGAATGTCTTTAATTTATTTCAAACTTTATTATACTTTTAAAAAATACTTCTTTTTATATATAAACTTTTTAATAAAAATTTCTTGTACTAATATTCTTTTTGTTACCACTGCAAATCATCAATAATAGTATCATAATTTAAAAATAAAAAGAAATAATAAATAACTTCCTAAAAGAAGTAATATATTTTTAATAAGAATGAATCCTAAACCACTAACAATTACATAAAAAACAACTGTTAAACTATAAAGATGGTTATTAGAAAAAAAATCCAAAACAAATAAGAGTTATTGATAATAAGATATCCATATTTCATTATCAGAAGTAAATAGATGAAGAAGATATCAATTCCTTAAAAGGGAAACTTATTTTTAATTTATTATTGATAAAATTGTGTTATTAAAAAATAAAAAAGAAATAATTAAAATATGGTATTAAAAAAAACATAATGAGTTAAAAATAACTAAAAAGAATAATTAAAGAATTAGAAAAAAACTAAACCCCAAATCGCAGTAGAACTTGAAAGGGTTTTGTCAAATTGCAGGTTGATGTCTGGAAAGGCTAATAAGCAAAAGCAAGCAAAACAAACCAACCCACTTATCGTTGCTAATAAGAAGGTATTTGGAAAAGGTAATGTAGCTCACCCACGTGATTTGACTAGATATGTTAAATATCCATTATATGTTAGAATTCAAAAGGAAAAGAGATTATTAATGAAAAGATTAAAGACTCCACCAGCAGTCAATATTTTTGCCAATCATACTCTTGACAAAACTAATGCCACTCAATTATTCAAGATTCTTGATCACATTAAACCAGAAGAAAGAGCTGCTAAATTACAAAGAATTAGAGCTGCTGCTAAAGAATTAGCTGAAAAAACACAAAAAGGTGAAAAAGCTACTGCTTCAAAGAAAACTGAAAAACCAGCTACTCTTAGTTATGGTATTAATAATGTTGTTAGATTAATTGAAAGAAAACAAGCTAAGTTAGTTGTTATTGCTCATGATGTTGAACCATTAGAAATGGTTGTTTATCTTCCATATCTTTGCAAGAAATTACAAGTTCCATACTGCATTGTTAAAGGAAAGGCTAGACTTGGACAATTAATTCACAGACCAACCGCTGCAGTTGTTGCTGTTACTGAAACTAAGAAAGAAGACAAAGCTGCATTTGAATCACTTGTTCAAAACGTCAAATCTATTTACTTCGAGAATGCTCATATGTACAGAGAATTCGGTGGTAGAATTAATGGATTCAAACATAATGAAAAACAAAAGAAGATTCAAAATAAACTTAATAAAGATCTTGCTGATAAAGCAAAACAACAAGCTGCTTTAACTGTTACCACTGCTGTCGAAGAAAAAGCTGCTCCAGTTGCTGAAGAAAAGAAAGCTGACAAGACTGCTTAAATTCAATGGGTTGTTTTATCTTTAAGTTGTTCATATGTAAAACAAAATTTTTATAGAGAAAAAATTAATATAATAAAATTATGTTATTTATCTAAAGAAATATTAAAAAAAATTAAAATTAAGAGGAACCCTAACAAACCCTTAAAGTAAAAGAAAGGAAGTTTAAAAGGATAAAACATGTATAGTACTACGTGTTGGATTCCTAAAGCACATTTAAGTAATTATCCAATTATACCTAATTTTGAACAATTGTATAATGAAGAGGTTCAAAGGGATGAAAACCAAGCAATGGAAGAAGATGAAATTGTTAAAAAATATGGACTAAGTAATTATGATGACGATGAAGACGATTATGCTAAATATGCATTAACTAAACAAGGAGATGGATTTGACCCTGATATGGAAGAAGATGATTCTGAGGTGGAAGAGAATTTAATTGCTGATACAGACTCAGTGTTAATAGCTGGGATGTTTGATAATGTAGAAGTTGACTACAGATTAGAGTTTGTTGTTATGGAACAAAGTGCTGACAATAAGTATATTCACCATGATATTCTTATGCCAAATATTCCATTAACAACATCTTATCTTGATATGGGGTCTTGCCCAATTAATGGAGTAAAAAATATTGTAGCTGTTTCATGTTTAGGTAAGCCATTAGAATTATGGAACATTGATTCTTTGGAAGATACAACACCATTAGTTGTATTGGATCCAACGAATGGTGCTATAATAAATCAAGCGAGAGAAATTAATGACAAATTTGATGACAATGCAACTGTATTATCTGTTGGATGGAATTCATTACAAAAAAATATATTAGCTACAGGATCTGCTGATCATATTATTAGATTTTGGGATTTAGCCTCAATGAAAGTTGCACATCAATTAAACCATCATCAAGGGAAAGTTCAGGTTTGTAGTTGGAATCCTATAGATGGATCTGTTTTGGCTACTGGATCATTTGGAGAAAATGGCTCTCAAGCAGCGATGTATCTTCTTGATGCTCGACAACAAAAAACATTGGGAAATTGGTTCTGTCAATGTGATATGAATGATTTTGTTTGGAACAATGATGGAAGACTTTTTATGATAACTTTTGAAGATGGTAGGGTAGAATTACGGGATATGAGAAATCTTAATAACCCTGTTTGGGAACTAGTTGCTCACGAGAAAGTTTGTACATCTGCTTCTATTTACAATAATGGTATTTTTGCAACTGGAGGTGAAGACAAATATGTTAAAATATGGGATGCTAAAGGTGGTAAACCTTATATGTTGAAACAAATTGATTGTAAAGGGGATGTCTTAGCATGTTCTTGGTGTCCAGATATTAATGGAATGTTAGCTGTAGGAGGAGAATTTGGATTAAAATTCCTCTCTGCGTTAAGATGATTGGTTCGTTATTAGTTAAATTAATGTTTTTTTAATTAAAAAATTACAAAAGAAAAATGTCTTTAGAAATAGAACGTTTTCAATTACATATTCATTGCTTTAATAAAATCTTTTAACTCAACATATCCTCTATGTAACGGATCAATAATAGATCTAACTCCTTCTTTTGCTTCTTCTGATGGTTGTTGTTGCGCCATTTTAACAATAAAACATATCATATCATCAGTTGGTACTTTGCCATCGTTGTTTAAATCAAGAATACAAAAAAGGACTGAGTTGGCAAGATTAAGTTCAGAGTTCTTATTTAACCCATGTTGTTGAATAATGTCTAATGTTCTCTTAAACTCTTCTTTTGAAATTTTTCCATTTCCGTTTATGTCTGTTGCAACAGCCATTAATGGTGTGTACAAAGTTGTTATTGCTGAATTAAAAAATGATGATAAAAGTTCTTTTCTTGCTGGTCCATGAGTTTCTTCTGGATGAGATGCAGAATAAATTACATTGTTAATTGCAGATACTGTTGCTTCAATAGAAAGATAGTCATTTCCTTGAGCAAGAATTTTAAAAGCATTTTCACTGGAAGTAGAATTCATAATTTATTTTTTTGAGTTTGCTCTTTTTTTGGTCAAAAATGTTTCTTTTTTATTATTTAATTTAAAAGAATTTTTTCGTTTTCCTAGAGGAGTTCCTTTATTGTTTGAAAGAATTGAATTTGTTTATTTCTTGTTTATTTATTCTTAAAAATATAAAAAATGTGTAACAATTTTATAAGTATTTTGTGGGTATTGATTTGGTATAAAGTTAGAATCAATTCTTTTTAACTTATATTATTAGTTGATTCATTTAAATAACTGAGAAATTGCTATATCTTATAACAATGAGTTACTGTTAACAAATTTTTATATAAGTTTTGTTTGATATGTATCTCTATTAACTTATATCTGAATTAATATAATACATATATATATAATAGTATGGTAGATACATTCTTAATTTATAAATAAAAATAGAATAATATAAATATTTTTAAACTTATTGTATATAGATTTTTTCATTCAAAAATGTTAATAAAGTCTAACATATAATAGGTTGTGTTAGTTTTTATTAATGTCATAAACATTTAATATTTTCTAAAAGGTTTTTATTACTTATTCTTTGTATGATTTTTATTAAAATAATTAACAAGAAATATATACAGTTTTGTGGTCAGTGCAAAAACTAAAATTTTTTTTTTTTGATTATCAAGAAGAGATTTATATTTAATAGTAAGATATTCTGAAAAATATAATAGATACAAAAACACGATCAGTATAATTATATTATGTACATTAGAGTCTAACTATTTTGGTATATCAATAATAATAAAAAAAGTTGTAAAGAGGTTAATTTCAATTTTGATAATTAGTGTTAATAAAATAGATAAAACATATGATATAAGTGATAGTGTCTTCATTGATTAGTTATTTTAGATTACATTACTTAAGCTGTAGGTCCATTAAAATTTCTTTTGATCTGTCAATGAATTTAGAAATGAATAATATATAAAGAAATAAGAGTCTTATAATGATTTATGATATAGTAAACAAAAACTAACTGAAGAAAAAGAAAAATATTTAAAAAAAGAGGAAGATTAAATGATATTTATAAAAATAGATAAAAATTTAAATCTTTCATTTCAAAAAGAAAACTAAAAGAAGAATGATTTATAAACAAATAACAAGTTGATTCGTTAGGTAATGAGTTAAAAAGAGTATTTTTATGTTTAAAGGTCTTAATAATAATATTATAGAAGATACAGAAGATTATTAAAATGTATTTGATAATACATTAAAAGAAGAAGAAACGAGTGATATGCCAAATGAATCAACTTCAGATAAATTTGTAAGGATAGAAAGGGTTTATCATATAAAAGAAAAAATGGTAAAAAATGAACTTTTTTATAAAAAAAATATAAATGATAATTAGTGTTAGAAAAGATAATTTATATTTATAAAAATAATTACAGTACTGTATATGAAAATCAATAGTAATTCTCAAAAAAAAAAGGTTAAAAATAATATTTCAATAGCAGTAGAATTATAGAAGAAAGAAAAAACAAAAGATTTGATAAGTAAAACACTGAAAAAAGAAAGTAGGTACAAAAAGGAATTAGGCATTAAACAAGAAAAATGAGAAAGTAAATGAGTTGAAAAGAAGATTCTTTTAAATAATTAAACAAAATGAATAGAAAAATGGAGGTCAAGAGAAATTAGAAAATACAATTTAATTCAAATAGTGAAGGTTGGAATGTTAATGCATTATATTTAATCAAAGAATAATAAATAAAGAACACAACATATTATTATTGAAATACAAAAGGCATTAAATTTAGAAAGATATTAATTCTAAAATTAAAAACGTTGGTAGTTGGTTAAATGATCCAAATGCATTTTTATTTTTAACAGAACCAAAAGGAATAATATAAGGAATAATGAAATTTAATATTAAACACAAAGAACATGCATTTAACTTATGTGATTAATCAAGTAATTTGTTTTTTTTTTGAATTTGGATTTAGAAGTGTATTAGTTTATAAAAAAAATGTTAAAACAAAATCATATTGTTCTGAAGATTCTTTTAATTATTTTGGAACACTAAATACACTTTTAGAACAGAGTATTTCACACTAAAACAAATAGTTGTAATTGAAATGAAAATATTCAATGAGGTTTATTTGATGTTGAAACAAGTTAGTTAATTGATATAGTTTCTTTTTTGGAGTTATTAAAATCTATTTATTCATAAATACTGGTTGTTAACATTAATATATTTTATTTATTGTGTTAATTAGTATTTTTGTTATATGGTATTCTTTATTTATTTTATTTATATGTTTATTTATTATTTTAATCATTTATTTCTTATTACTGTGTTATCATTCTTGTTAATAGATATTTATAATTTTAAATATTTGAATAGATTTCTATTTTCTTATTTATTTGTTTTAATTTGATTATATTTCATTTTCTTTTCAATATAATTTTTGATTTCTATTTCATTCTTTCTCTTAATATTAATTCTTTTTATATTATCTTTTTATTCAATATCACATTAATTAATATCTCTATCATTTTATATTATTTCATAATTAATAAACATGTGATATAATTTAAAATATTTCTATTATTGTTTTTTTACTATCTTTTGATTTCTTTCTCTCTTTTATAACTCTTTAATACATTTTTACAACTTCTTCATTATTATTCTTTATATTCTTTACAAACTTTTATTGTCATTTATTAATTATCGTTATTCAATAACGATAATAAGCAGATAATTTCAAATTGTCTGATGTTTTCCGATATCATCAATTACCAGTTATGTCAATATCGCATAATCATATCTTTTTCTATTTTTCATTTCTATTTTTATTTTATTACATGTTAGATTCTAGATATCGTTTATTCTGAATCTATTATTTATATTATTCATCCTAAATACAATGGATAATTTAATTTAAATACTATGGGATAAACACTCTAATACATATGTTTCTAGAACACAAATTTATTTGCTTTACAGAGGATAAAATCTCCTATAAATCACTCTCTAGTATACGTAATTCATCACCGCTTTTTTCTCATTTATTTTATAAAAGAACCTCCAATAGATAACAAATAAAGAAATTAAGAAAAAGAATGAACTAATGTATTAAATTTTTTCAAACAATAACTTTTAGATAGAAAAAAATGATTTTTTGGAAGATATAAAAAATAAGAAATGAAAGAAATGAATTGAGATTTCAATCATATCAAATTGTATTATTTTGTCTCACAACAACATTTCTTAGAACAAGAGGAACAGAATGGCTTAATTTGTTTAAAGAAGTCATTACCTTTATCATCAACTAAAACAAAAGCCAATAAGTCTTCAACTTTAATTTTCCACACAGCTTCCATTCCAAGATCTTCAAAGGCAATGCACTCAACACTTTTAATATTCTTTTCAGCTAATAAAGCAGCAGCACCTCCAATTGCTCCAAGGTAAAAACCGCCATGTTTCTTGCAAGCATTAGTTAACATTTCACTTCTATTACCTTTGGCTATCATTACAAGACTTCCACCATGTGCTTGGAAGTCATCAACATAAGGATCCATACGAGCAGAAGTAGTAGGACCAAATGATCCACTTGGATAACCTTTTGGTTGTTTAGCAGGTCCTGCATAATAGATAGGATGATCTTTAATATATTGTGGGACATCACCTGTTTCTTTTAAAATATCGTTGATTCTAGCATGGGCAATATCTCTTGCAACGATAATAGTACCACTTAATAATACAGGGGATTCTACAGGAAGAACAGTTAGTTGTTTCAATATTTCTGGCATAGGAACATCTAAATTGATTCTTGTAGGTTCTTTAGAAATGTCACGAGTAAGTCCACATAAGTATTGTTCAGGATTGTGTTCTAATTCTTCAACAAAAATTCCATCCTTAGTGATTTTACCTTTTATATTTCTATCTGCACTACAAGATACTCC